TTATATAGTCAGCTATAAGGATGTTACCCATGCAATCCGAAGTGAGGCCTCGAGGTGTGAAAGACGTAAATCCCTGTTTACCTTTATACATAAATTTCAAATCTCCCCCTGAAATGAAAACAAAAACCATTTGTCTTCCTTCGTCCGAGGTGCAGATATCTGAATTAACGTTAACACAAACATATGTGGGCTTTACGAGTTCATGATGTGAACCATTTATACCAATGATTTTCCTCTTTTCACCGTCTGATGTATAGATACTCAGACGTCCTAATTTTGTCATTTCGTTTTGCTCAGCTACGATTATATCCTCAGAACTTCTGCAGGCAATGCCTCTTGCTTTCCAAGAATTGTCTGAAGCAATCGTCTCAATAGTTCCATTCTTTACTCTTTGTACACCTTGTTGGCTTTCTGAAGTGTAAAAAATCGTTTCATCGAGAGCTTGTGATATATAATTTGGTTGTTTTTGAACGGGTATTGACATAAGCTCTTTCCCATCAAAATCTAAGGCACGAATTGTGAAACTTTTTTTGATTCTGTAAGTACCACAGACAAGGATTTGATCGTGACATGTATACGAAAGATCAAATATATTTATTTACATTTGCAAATATTTTTCTTAGATGAACCTATTGAAGAGAAAATATGTTCAATTCTGTATGAACTAATTAGGGGGTCAGAGGTCATGGTGTGACCGAATCACACAGCGAGATGATATCTTGTCTACATATTTCTGTAACGGTGACACTGGTTTCGGAACTTCTAAGCCGTTAAAGCGATGAAAAAGGTAAAATTATTGAAACATATGTGTGTTTTTTTCGTTCAAAAATGATCATTAGTTCTTTCTTCGGTGTGAAGAATGTTTTTTATTAGCCTAAAATCACGCTTACCTTTTTAACCCGAAATTCCTTTGAAGGTAAGTAAACTGAAGACGATACCACCGCTTTTGACTTCATATATTAAGAACTCATACAATAAAAGTAAGATTATTCTCAGTAGCGATCATTGTTTTTTCATTATGAACAGATATTTCCTGAACTGGACTGCTGAACATCAATGTAATTATTCAAATGTTGGAGCGAGGTGAACTCTCAAGACCAAACAGCTTCTAGGTCATTGCGCGTCACAACATAGCAATACGGCGGGCCGTTCGTGTAATAAATGCTGTTCTTTTCAGAATATCCGTCTCAAATGTAAATAAAAGTAATAAACAACAATGTTAAAAAGTTCACTGGGAAATGAACTTGGTTGGTACGTGATCAAATCTTCTGAGAAGCCCTTCGGGCTTCACAGGATTTGATCACGTGACCAACCAAGTTCATTTCCCAGAGAACTTTTTAACATTGTTGTTTATTTCTTAAATCTATAAACTGTAGAAATCTTTTGTACATCTCTTGTACTTTTAAGCAGTTCAACAGATCTATTAATCTTATGTTCAATTTCTTTGTCAGGCGTTTCCCCTTGAAGATTAGATATTGTGGCCTTTTTGGCTGGAATCAAGGATCCTAAGAACTTGTAACAGTCGAATTCAGATTCACCTTGTTTGAAAACGGGAAGTGTTCGTTCAAAAAGTTCAGGACACTTTTCAAATGGATATGACGTGGTTTGGTACATAGCTAGCTTTTTAGGATCAGCAATTTGCAAACAAAGTTGAGATTTACATTCTTCAATATCTCCAATGACTTTCTCAAGCTTTATTTTGTTGTCTCTTAAATAATCAAGATGTTCCATTTCCATAGCCTCGATTTGCATTTTTAGTTTCTTCACCGTCTCTTCAACTTTTTTCTGTAAAGTTAACCCAGCTTGTTCAACATCCTTTCGAATAGCTGCATATTTTGCTGGAACTGCAGAAATATTGTGTTCATTGTCACTTGCAAGTTTCATGTAAGTACTTTTGAATTTTATTTCAAACTTCTGAAGCTCTTCCTCTATCACGATTCTCTGAGACAAAAAACGATCTTCCATAGATGAGAAAGAATGTCCTTTATGTTGGGTAAGGGAGCAAACATAACAGATTGATGCAAAACAATTTTTGCAGAATAATTCGCAGATATTTCCAATATGTTTATCGCACAGTATTTTTGGTGATGATTTGCTTTCTTGGTACGAAAAAGCGAAATGGTAGGGATTTATTTTTTTGTGCTTTCCAAGGCATTTTTCACAGATATTTTTGCCGCAGCTACAAGAGAAATCCACATTGCTTTCCTCACAGATTTCACAAACAATGGCTGTTTGGCATTCTCGTGTCGCCTCCATTTTTTGACTCTAAGCTGCACAGCTAAATTTTAAATTGTATCAAGATAGAAAATATAAATACCTAGGCACCTTTAAGCATGACAGAAGGTTTCTACTTGCATACAGTGGTAATCTATCGATCTACATAACATACGTCATACAATCAATTGAAAGATGATCATTGGTCTTCTGCCTGTTAAAAACTAAGGTAATCAGGCTGGGTTCTAATAATAGAGTTGAATAGTTTATCTCAGCCGATCGATAAGTGTCATAGGCAGTTGAAAGAATATCTCTTTGTATTGCACACATAGTACTCCTGTGCACTGGATTATGTGCTAGCATTTAATGTTTTGGATATCATTCAAACAAATTTGCCGCAAATTTTGTCCTATAATATAAACACAATGTATTATAAGATATGTTTTTCAGATATATATAAACTAAGGACATTTCGGAAAGTAATGGTTTTCCGAAAAGGACGTCAATAGATAATAATTTATAATGCAGCTGTTCTAAATATTAATTTTGATAACGGTTTCGTTTGAAGGTTTTTTTTTTAAATAAAAGGTGCTTGCAATCTTGAAAAAAATTCTTTAGGCAAATAAATACTGATATACTGAATTATTCTATTAGAATATATATATGAAGTCAAACTGCCAGGTCAAACTGACATGGAGTGTACATTGTACCTACTACTGTGTCAGCCTTGATTCACTTTCTTGTCTCTCAAAGGCAGCTGTTAAAAGCAAGGCATATGCCGCTCTATGTGCGAGAGCATTTCTTTTTGACTGTTTTTAAGAGGTTATATTGCCCTTAAGTGTCAAATTCTTTTCAAGTATTAAAGAAACATATTATTCATTAGAAATATGTTTGACATGTTTTAAAAAAATGTTTTAAAAAATAGTTGTTGAGAAAGCTGATTTTAAACCTAAGTTTAAATTCGAACAAACCTTAAGAGTAGAAATCTTTAATTCCATTTAAATAAATTTAATAGGTTTTTTTCTTGAAACATTTGCAAACAAAAGACCATTAATGCAAAAATTATAATTTTTTATATGACAATATGATCAGTCGAAGAGTACTAAATGGTTGTAAAAAAAATATTTAAGACCTATTTTGTAAGGGGGATGAGGCACGTGTGATAATGGACTTTCTTGACATTTGCATAAGTAAGCCTTTATATTGTTTACTTTAACCAGTAATCAATTGATTGCAATGAAATTTTGTTTCCATGGTAACAGTCCTAATCCTTGACAAATTAGTATTTTTACCTTTTTTGATTCCTCACTATTGCTTTCTTCAGGGACACAGAATATCATTGATCATATGTGCAGAAATGTCACGACTTATTGCCTAAGCTGGTTAAAAAGAAACTATTATGAACCCATGTGTAACAGATCCAAATTAAGATTACAATTGAATGAAATCTTCAATTCATTAAAATGAGAACTGATTTTAATGCTTTCGTCTCATGCTTTTACATGAGAGAGCGAACATACCAAAAGGACAAAAAATGAAATAAGTTCTTGAAGAGGAATAAACACAGCGATGGATTGGTCATAATAGGATTTTACGTTATCATTTTTACATTGTAAACAAGGAATTGTACCTCAGATTGTAACGAATGCAAAGATTATTAGAATATATTTATTTGCTTAAAGTACGACTATTTTGAGCTGTGTAACCTAAAATTAAAAAGATGTTCCGAAAAAAGATTGTTTCTACAGGTATTACCATGGATATATTATTTTCAGCGATTCAGAAGAATCATTCAGGTTTTCCAGACTACATGCATTTTATGTATAATTATTTTTTAAATGTACAAAAATATGTCCCCTCATGATCATATTTTTATCTTCAAATTGAATGTCTGATTGATAATCTTAAGAATACACTTTGGTTTCAATGTTTACTTAGCAGTAAAGAAAAGATCAGCAATCATCTGTATTTAGTTTGAGACTTTTCACTACAACTGAGAGTCAGTTAACCAATTTATACGTATTAAAAAAAGTATTGAAATTTTTCAAAAAGGGGATATTTTCAAGAAAAGAAATGTTGTTATGCCTACAATTATACATGTAATAGGATATTTCATTATGTTTCCATAGTAACGAATATTTACCTATCTTTTTATTTTTACAATAATTAGACACCAATTTGTATTCTTCATGAAACATTTAAAAAATCGAGGAATGTTGTTTTATTTGTTGATGCTTACATTTTATTAAGACATAATTCGTTAAATATCTGGAGTGGTCTGTAATATTTGTCGACATTTAAACATAGCTTTATTACTTTAACAAATATGAAACAAATTTATTTTGTTAAAAATTCTAGATTACTTTATCGGGGGAGGGGTTGATAGCCTTGACTTAACGCATTGTTAAAAGGTTCAAAAATGATGTGGAAATTGTAAACTAAATAATGTAAAAAAAAAAAAAAAAAAAAAAAATAGCGAAATTCAATATTCCTTCATTAAACACCTGTTATATGAATTATTTCATTTTTATTTAAGATACATGTTTATGAAAATATAACGCTATAATTGCCACAAATTGCATGTCTGCACAATGTTTAATGTGTAATCATGATAAATTACATCATCGCTGGACTAAGAATCTGTGAAAACTAAATGAAATCAATATGCTATTATCGTTTGGTTTCACGCTCTATTGAGAACCCTGTACAAATACAAACTTCGGGATTGTGTTCAAAGTGTCCTCATGAGTAGATTACAGACAAGGTAAATTTTGTTTCGTATAATGACACACATCGCTGAGTTATGAGGAAGATAAATTGACGAAGTATCTCTGTTGACAGCAGGAACAAATTTGTCAGTGTCTGTCTTTTTCCATTTTATGCACTATGACTGGTTTAAATCTTTCCATTACTGGATTATTCTGTGTTTTATCTTGTTATGTGTCTCTGAACTGTTCAGCCTTTGACTTAACGCTTCTACACACAAATGATGTCCACGCGCGTGTACAAGAAATGAATGCTTATGGTGGACAATGCACGAGCTCCACTGATGATTGTTACGGTGGCGTGGCCAGAATGAAAACAAAAGTGCAGGAAATTAGAAACCAGTTCCCTAATACTTTATTATTGGACGCCGGGGACCAGTATCAAGGGACGCTGTGGTTTAATCACTATGGCGGAAACATTACTCAAACGACAATGAATGAACTCGGATATGAGGCAATGGTAATATATGCCAAAACAAAATATTCTTCGGAAATTAATCATAATATTGGTTTCAAGCATTTTTTTTTTCAATTATTTGCTGTTTGTTGGTAAACAGTAGAATGTATGATTTATTTATTATCGAACCCTGAAATAGGTCGCAAAAAAGAAGAATTGTTTTTTTTTAACGAAATAATAATCAAGGTATACTTTTCATATAACAGATAATGACAAATCTTATGACTAGTCTTATTTTATAATGTTTCATGGACTTGTGAAATCCCAGTTCTTTAATGAAACTTTCCGTTCAAATAACGTTTTATCATTATTCAGACATTTAAATTCTTTCTATCGATGAAACTCTACACTGGTACAGTTTAACAGAGAAAATATTAATTTCCTGAATATGTTTCCTATTACTACATAAATAGAACATGTTTAATGCATAAACTTAGCTTAAATTTTGATTGTTTCTTTGAACTTTTTTCCATCTAATTGACTATAGATTATTTTAAGATATTTTTCCACAACTTATTTATTATACACTCTTATTTTTATGTGCATTTTTCTATTGTATTTACTCTATAATTTTGGATGTACGTTTCAGAAATGATTATACATTGATTCATAAGGTTTGAACATTGGTATCTTAATTTGTACAAAAAACAACTTGAGGAAAAGTACACCCCACCAACAATGAATCCATTTACTACAGATCAACAACCTTAATGAACTTCAATTTTGTCCTACTTTCCACTCTTTTTTATCAGGCTGATAAAATCTTTAAAACCTTAAAATCGTGACAGTGAATGAGAGTAATAAAATAAAATGGAAAATCGTTAGAGATCAGGTCAACAACACAAGAAACAAAATATGTTTTAAGTAAATATTAAGAAATGGTTTTGATCTATTTCATATTACCCTGCTGCTAAACATAAACTTCAAGCTAAAACAAATTAAAAATTCGCATTTATGATAATGATGCTCGGATATCAAACTGACAGCTAAAAATTAAATGGCATGCATTTACCTGGTAAGCGTATGTCTTAATGACCATATATTTGAATGACAAACTAACAACTACATTGTTTGACAAACAAAGTGACCGGAACTTTTCCATCCTGAACTTTCCCTATTTATGTTGTGATACATGTATTCCATTCGAATATTTCGTAAAATAACAATGATCAATTCATTCGGATATGCATATTTTCTTTACGTCTCCCTACTTATTGGATTTGCAAAAACATGCCAAGAGTAGTAAGGCCAATTTTAATAATACAATAATAAAAAAAATAATAATAAAACAAGGCAGGCTACTGAAAAATAGATTGATATTACAGGACTTTCTATATTTCGTTAAATCTAGTATTTCGCAAATTCGTTGGTCGTTATGATAACCCTAATTGCAAATACAATAGTTGGGGTTTTTGACTAACATGTTTCGTACAAATTATAAGGTCAGTGTTTTATATTAATTTTGACTACGGGATACCCTTTTTATCAGAACAATGCTGAGGGCTCATGGCGGTACATGTACAACTGTTGATAGCTATACAGGGGATGCTTACTCCTTCTCAGTACCTGGTCCAATTCTGGTGTTAATAGGGATCAGATTTTTTTTCTGTTCACTTTTTTTTTTACGAGATATGAGATCGATTACAGTCCGTTACAATTACTCAGTTTACTGAGTACCCAGGTTACCCAGGTTAAAGTTTTTTGTTATCTTTATTATGATCAAGTATTTAGATTCAACCTTTCCATACCCATCTTATTTTTTGATTGAAATCATACACACTCCACACAAACACACACACAGAGGAAGAGAGGTATCGGTCGTTTGTTTTAATGTTGTTTTTTGTCCTGTTTGAGATATTTCACTCATATAAAGACGTCACCATATAATGGTAAAGGTCTTCAAATTTAGACCTTTACTCGGCACTCAGGGCAATTGAGCAGAGAAGGATCTTTATCATGTCAACCTGCAGTGCCAGTGAACCTCGGTCTTTTCAGGTATCATCCGAGAAACCCACAACTTTCACTTCGAAGTACCGAGCCCTAGGTGAAGGAACAGTTGCTACATATTTTTATCGACTTAGGTAAGCCGCCGCCAGGGTTCGAACCCATGACCCTCCAACCACGGAGCGAGCGCTCTACCGACTGAGCTACCGTGAGGGTGGGAGAGAGGGAACAAGTATGGAAGCGTTATTTATTACAGGAGCAATGATTGCTGATCTAAAGGATTTTTCAATATCTCTGCATTTAAGCAAACTTAAAGTATGTGGTGCTTTGTTTTTATTTTGAAATTTCAAGAAACAGACTTGTTTACTAACAATGATGCTAACAATTGTATTATAGGAAATGAAATTGATTACATCACACTTAACATGATTTCAATTGTGACCCCTGAATAATGACGATTATTTCCTGTACATGCTGTTAAACTGACATTGGCATGTGAATAATTTTTACACATGTACTATGCAAACAAAGTCAACAATCAAATTAAAATTCAAAGTCAATTTGTTTAAAAAAAGATATATGATGAAAGTGTACATGTATTGAAATTAAAAAGTTCGGCCTGAAAATTAAGATTCAGTATAGTTACATGTCAAATAATTTATGTCAAAAGTGAGAAAAGTAGATTGCTCTCCTGAAAAGAATTAAATTGTATGTTGTTTTTAAGATGACCTGTACCTTTGTGTCATTGAATTGAAATGAAATTGAATTATTCACCCCTTTTAATTTGAACTTTTACCAGAATGTACCTTTTATTTTGTTTTATAAGTAAAATTCAACCTATTGGTTCCATCCAAAAATGAATCAGATTCAATAGTACAATAAATTAAGAAGAATACTCTCATTTTAAAATGTAATTCTTTAAAAAAAAAATACACAGGACGAACCTACACCATTCAGTCAACTGAATGGTCACTGAAAGGCCAGGAAAATTCACTGAATGACAGAGCTCTGCGATTTAGTCACCCTTCTGTAGATATTCAACAGGGTTTCATCCTGTGACGAAAGTTTACATGTACTTTTAAACGGTTAACTCTAAATTCACAAGATAAAATTAGGAGTTATTATATCTATTTTTAGGAATGCATTAGACTAAAAAAAAACTTAATTTTATTTAAAGTGAACGATCTGAATAAGAGGATATTATATATAGATAATAACACACTAAATATAACAAACTTTTCCTTTTTAGGCATTAGGAAATCATGAGTTCGACCGCAAAATCGAGGGTCTTCTGCTATTTTTAAAAAATGTTAATTTCCCTGTTTTAAGTGCTAACATCAATACCTCACAAGAACCCTCCATCGCTCCTTACATAAGCAAAAGTAGCATCATTCAGGTTGGTGGGCAACAAATTGGAATTGTGGGATACACGACAAAGGATACACCCATTATATCATCTCCGGGTAAGAATTATAGTTAACCAAAGAAAAAAATTATTTTATTTAAATAGAGTAAGCACAACTCCTTCTTAATCAGTTGAATCTTTATTTCATAATTTCATAGAAGATTTGAAATAATGTTTGAATCACTATTTACAGGTTCCTTGAATTTTTATGACGAAGTTGAGTCTGTACGCAGTGAAGTACAAAAACTCACAGGACAGGGAGTCAACAAGATTATAGCGCTTGGTCATGCAGGATTTGAAGTGGATAAGAGAATAGCGGAGATAGCTAGTGTGGATATAGTAATTGGTGGACATACTAATACATTCCTATACTCAGGTTATATATTACACTGTTTATTGATAGGAAGCTGATTTAGGTGTGGTCATCGCTTGACATAATTACATATCTGTATTCTCTGATTATACATTGACAATGACAACGAATTTATGCTCATAAACTGACATTAAGTACAGTGTAGAGACAGATTACATGTACAAATATAATTAAACATATGTGCATTCGTGAAACAGAAAAAAGCACGAAGTCAAAATCTAACAATTAGCTAACTAGGAGAGACAACAGTCTCAAAGATCATTTTTATAAATTTACAAATTTTTCTTTCATTTTAACAGTATTGTTGTATTAAAAAGTTGATCAAACTTATACACATTTGGACTCTTAAATGAATAAAACTTGTAAATGTTCATTCGTTGACATATAGTGCATGTAATCATTTCCATACACTGTACTTATGTTCTATATTGCATTATTTATTAATAATTGAATGGTTTAAATATCATAGAAGAATCATTCAGCGCATTTTCTTAATTCAGCTTACAAGTTCTTTCGGGTTAACATTAAACACCAAGGATTTTGCAAAAGCTTTGTTTTGCAGTGATAAATATCAAATGAGTATCAATAAACACCATGTTTTCTTTTAAATGAAGGTTCTCCTCCCTCTGTTGAAAAGCCCGCAGGGGAGTATCCACATGTGGTACAGAAATCTGGCGGAGAACAAACTCTAGTAGTCCAAGATTATGCATTTGGAAAGTACCTGGGATTTTTGCAAGTTGAATTTGATAACAGTGGGAAAATAATAAATTATGGAGGAAATCCAATTTTACTTAACAAGTCCATAACAGAAAGTAAGTTCAGCTTTAGAAAAGTGCAAGAGGATACATACTTCTCCCTATTTGATAGAAATTATTTTACACTAATCCTCGTATTTTTTCTCGTAAGAGCCATATTTTGTTCAAAAATATATTGAATTACATTTTGTGACATAATTTCTTTTCTTTAGAAACATTGCCTTACTTTGAATTTAACCGACTCTGACATTAATAATTTTTTGACGTATCCACTTACATATCACAAACAAGATTTGTATAAAAAAAATGTATGCCGTTCTTTCCTCTTTTTAATTTTAACTCAGCTGCATGTCACGCAATCTGTTAGAAATGATAGATATATCAAAAAACGATATCCTCTAATCCTAAAGCTAAGTCTAAATTGCACGTTGAAAGATGAATTTTAAAACGAGTTATATGCTTGGTTACCAGTTTTCTATAACATATTATGCAAGGGAAATTGAAATATGAAACTTATTTCTACAAACATTTACATTTTTGGACCATTACCAAATTCCACCAAACATGCATTTTCGCCTCTACCCTGCCAAAAGTTGGAAGAGAATACTGAAGAAAAATCCATAGAATATGAACATATAAATTTGAAAAGTATTTATTGATTTTCAGGAAATTAATTTAGAAATTTACTTAGATTTATCTAGCAAATTTTCACGACACCTTATTTTCGGAAGATGGGTATTGAGTATTTATATGCAGACAAAAATCTTTCAATTTACCGACTTTTTTATTTAAATACTTCCGTACTAATGGACTTTAATTCTCGGAATCCTCGGATAACTTGGCATAGGTTTATTAAAAACAAAACGCATAAGCTCTAGACCATCGAAATGATACCCACGACATATTAAATGTACTCTGAACAAATATCCATTTGTAACAAAAATCACTCAAAAATGTAGCAGTAAGTTAATACTTGTAGACATTGAATGAATCTAAATTTAATTAAAGCTGTGCAGCAATGCTAAGGCTTGATAATGAAGTCGAATACTAACTCATACGGAAATGTTTACTTCGACATCATGCGAAAATAACCTCTAAAAATAGCAGAAATTGAAACAATTAGCAATTTTAAACCGGTATAAAAGTGTTAAACTACATCAAGATTTACCACTAAATTCATACCAGCTATAAACAAGTAACTGATCGCTATGCATCTGCCATGACTTCATCATGGTATTATTTGACGCATTGTATGTACGGTACAAGTGATAGGGGTATTTTTCACAGTGAAACATGCACTTTGTCATTACGTAAAATATTGTTTTAAAGGTCCATTAACTTAAATGCGTATGTTTTGCTTAATGTCACTATTTAATTAATACCGAAAGACTGGATTGATTGATTGATTGATTGACATGTTTAACATAGAATAGGCAGTATTCCAGTTAAATTTCGGTGGTTAGAGTGTATGAATTTATTCCACCGTGTTTTTTTTTTTTTTTTTTTTTTTTTTTGGTACCGAAAAATCGATAACAATTTACACCAAGACCAAAATATTTTTAATGAGCAAAATATATCAAGTAATAAAACTATATGTATGTCTGGATAATGCATTATGATAAAAATAAGGATAATGTTGCTAAATAGAAATAATATATTGAAGTTTGAAATATAAACTTGTTGATTTCTCTAGTTCGATTTGCCTCTGAAAATTTCCTAAATTCCACCCATTTCTTATATAATGTTAGACAAAAATTAATGATGGGAAGTCAACTCTTAATTTAATCATATTTCCCTTATTTTTCTGGTTTTAAAAATATATTAGGTCAGAGGTCATTTTTAGATATGTTGTAAATCTCATTCTTAATACTTGGTAAAGGTCATGCATATTTCGACCTAAGCCACATTACTTGAAATTTTAAGTAATAAAATGCTTTTTATCTTTTAAGCAACAGCAATTTCTAGACATCACAAGATATGTAGAAAATATCAATTAAATATGGATTTTGAACAAGGTTATGTCCTTGCGATATTGGAATTTGTATACGATCTCAATGCAGTACATATTTTATGCATGTATTACGAGACTATCAAATAAAGTAACCATACTAAATTTATTTCAGAGTGGGAAAAATTTGTTATTTCAATTCATATTAAATTAGTATGATCATATATAATAGCTTTACAAGAATAAATTCAGTTAAAAAGATATATATGTGTACGTTTATATTCAGTTGATTTCTTCGTAGTAAGCTCTAACTGTGCCCGTGGCTATTCAATGTATAAACATTCATTAATAAATAAATAAATAAATAGGTCTTCTTTCCTAAAACATCCATCGTCAATCAATCCATCTCAGTATTTAGTCACACTAATGTCAACTGCGAATTAAATTTCTCGAATATATGGTTAAAGAGCTCTTAAATTGACACTAAAAAATCTACAAGGTAAAGTTTGTTTTTATAATAATATATCTATAACTTATGATATCCGTTGTACGTAATTTGTAAGTGCATAGTTTTTCTATGAAACAGCAAATGATTATGGTTTGAAGGTTGACATTCTTAGTCTCCATGAACAGATTTTCAGCTAGTTGTCAGCACATCACATTCAGTCTTGCAAACCAATTAAAAAAACAAACAAACAAACAAACAAACAAACAAAACAAAACAATACTTCAAACCAAACAGATACTTTGTTCTCTAGTGCACAAAAATTGTCAATAAATATTTTCTCAAGCGTTATTAGGGTATATGGATTAATGGTTCTTTTAAAAAGTAGCCTTAAAAGTTCAGTATTTATCTACCTCACAAATAATTTAATATTCAATTACATTTTTTTTTTAAAGATTCCGACCTGAAAGGCAAGATAGGTGTTTTGTACAGCGCCATAGAAAAATCTGCCAAGAGAGTAGTGGGTCGGACGCTGGTCACTTTGGAGGGAGAGACTCCGTGTCGCCTGAGAGAGTGCAACATGGGTATATCAGATTCTATCCTTTAATCAGTTATACGAAGATAAGATGTACACTCTTTATTAAACCTACAATTTAAAATCAAAAGAACTTAATTGTTGCCTAAGAGTAATATCTTTATAAGAGTGCAATATGATCAAGTTTCAGGTGGAGAAGACATTCTCACACGTATATATTTTAATCAGACTTTTTTAATTGAAATTATAGGCAAGCAATTGTCTAAACAGAAATTTCACAAGAAAATAAAACAAGTAATTTGAAGTCAAAAAATATGTAAAAACATAAACTTTTTTTTTTAAATGGATAAATTACTGCACAGTCTGTTAACTGCAGCTGCTACTCTTACAACTACCGACTGTATATTTCAAAGGTAACGCTATCGCTGACGGTCTTGTATACCACAACTTGAAGGATGCTGATGACGTCAATGGTACTCGTGTTTACATTTCTCTGGTAAATGCAGGATCCATCCGGGCGACTTTTTCCAGAGGTAAAGACAAATATACTTCTTAGTCTTTAACTTGTTTTTGTAGATATAATTCAGTGTAGGTATATTTATTTATATCAGTATCTCATCAGCTGTTGAAAAAATCGTAATTTAAATACTGCATGTTCAGCTATTTTTAACGTACTTCATAAACACATAATCATCATCTTCTAATGCTATATTTACCAAATGTCAATCTCCCAAAACCTTTTTGAACGTTTTTAAAGCATTTTAATAAGATGTAAATACTGAACGTCGAAATCTTATCGAAAAGAAACCCAGACACCTACTGTAATATTCCCCTACTTAACGTTTTTTTTTGGTCTGACTTACTAACATTGCGTATTAGTATTTCTTTCCCAAAGCCACATGTGTAATTGAATTTCATTTGATAAACCTTCATGAAAACTGGTGAAACCTCGTTATGAAGGTGTATCCTTAAATTTTTAATGTCATGCTTATAATTGACCTGAGATAGTCAAATCTAAATTTAAAGAACTATTTATTTGTAGTTAGGCTTTGATAGATTTATATACACAAACTTGATTGCTTTGCAAAATTTTCAATTAGGGTTAACTAAATCCATATCATTTCTATATTGGAATAGTTAGCTCACATCTGAAAATGAACTCTAGAAATTCATTTACTGTCGGTCCCGAATTTTCAGATTTATTATGTGAATTTAAAAGACTATGAAAACTGTTTAGTTTATCTGCATATTACAATTGTCTAACGGATGTAGCCCAATGCTGGAAAAGTTGTTTTAATGCTCAAAATTGGATTTTTACGAAAATTTAAAAAAAGGAAATGTTCGACTCGTTGACAACTTAAGTATTCAACACATCCATGTCAATGTTTAAAAACACAGTTTCACTGATTTTTGCATTACAAAGAAAACCCTGCTACGTTCACTCGGTCAGTGTGCTTTTACTAACTTTACTTTATGTCATTCTAAGGACAGATATTGATGGGGAACATATTTGAAGCACAGCCTTTTCGCAATACTCTGGAAACCATTCTTCTTCAGGGAAAATATTTACGTGCAACTTTGGAGCACAGTGCTTCTTTGCATAGCGTGGCGGATCCAGACGGGGGATTTCTACAAGTTTCTGGTAAAAAAAAAAATATGTATACTATAAAACATGTAATCTGTGGGGAACATATTTTTCTTTTCAACATAGTCCTTAAAATGTAGATTGTCTGCCTTTGATGCTTGCAATCTATATGTTTTCATTTTATATATTAACCTTTATATATATATATATATAAGTTAAAGAGTGTGAATATTTCGCCATTCTTCAAGTAAAATGTCAGAACCGTAATATTCAGCAAAAATGGACAACAGCAGCAATGATGCTTTTTGCAGTATTATAAAATATCTACATAAATAATGTAGGCACATTGGAAGATAATTATGATTACAGGTCGTCTAGCATACAGGATAATGCAGCTGTATTATAATAAAGATTGAATCTGATTACATTGAATTAAATTTCATTTTAGAAGACAGTATGTCTAGATTACGAACAATAAGTGCGTCTCCTTATGAGTGAAAAATTCTCGAGAGGGACGTTAAACAACATACAAACAAACAAAACAAACGAACAGTAAGTTTTCCTAGTCGTTGATTACTTTTACCACCGCTATGCAACGATGATTTTGTTTTTTCCCGGGGGGGGGGGGGATCACTGCATGAGTTACAGAGTCTGGAAATGTTATATTACTTAAATGTGATATTGGGTAAGGGGATTAGACTCTTAATAACTTTGCATGATTCAGGAAGGACATTTCTTTAAGCATTTTTCCAATTTGTATAAGGTTAAGCAGCTGAAAAACGCCTTGATATTCAATGGGTTAGAAAACAATTGCTGACCTTTAAACTGTCAATCTAAATAAATCTAAAATATATACATTCTTAGTATGTGAAACAATCCACGGGTATAATACACCTTGTCATTGGTCATCTACAAACTTTTTTGATAAACATTCCTCTTATACACACAAGTACCATGAAATTGATATCAAAAAGATGCTTGAGTTTTTTATTGCCAATATCTAACTAATCCTTGGACACAAGTTTTTCCAACAATCTTTTGGAATTTCTTTTGCTACTATAAGGGTGCCCCGTTCTTTGCAGACCTGTTTTTGTATCAAAATGAAAGAGAGTTTATTCAAAAACTTTTATATGAAAAGAAGAAAGCTCCAGCATTGGACTTTCATTCGGTATTTTGATGTATCGAAGACTTTCTTCATTTTCATATTTACGTTGATTCTATATACCCCATTGATCTCGACATAAGACACTACAGAGTCTGACAGATCTGTTTCAGATTCTGAAGTTTTACTATGGCAGACTAAAGATAAACATGATAAATTCAGTTTTTTTCGTCAACTTCCCTTATTCGTGTATCAATATTCCACTATCACCTGCATATGAAGTTTATGTCTCTCAGTTGATTCGATTAGCAAGAACATGTTCTTCCCTTTGACCTTGACCTTAGAGGTTGACCTACTTTTGAAAAACTTTAACCTTGGTCACAACTTACGAACGGTTGGTGCTAGGGTTTTCTTATTTCACAGGTGTTTTCCTTGTGATAATTATTTTTTATCTTTTGACTTTGACCTTTACCTTGGATTTTTGATTCCATTTAAGAAACTTCGCCATAAGCTGTCATACGGGGTCATAAGTATTTCACAAACATATTTTCTTTTTGTCTGTTAACCCGTTGATAACAAGGGGCATAAGGTAAGTGTGACTGATGGACAGGGGATGCTCACTTCTGCATTGCATCTCATCCTACCTCTGTTTTTAGAGGTCCATGTTTGCTCTGCTCACATTTTGAATATTTGGTTAAATGGAGTTCGAGTCTTATTCCTGTCCTTTATCTTCATGTATTTAATATATATTTTGCAGGATTACGGGTGAAATACAACCTAAATAGACCGGTAAACCAAAGAGTTGTAGATGTTAAAGTTATATGTGCAGACTGCAATGTTCCAAAATATGAACCATTGGACAACAGTAAAATGTATGGGGTAATTTTGTCCAATTTTATCCTATCTGGCGGTGATGGTTATACCGTTCTCAGGGACAACGCTCGGCAAGACCACGTAGTTGGTAAGTAATAATTTAAGTAATAAAGGTTTATAATTATATAAAATCATATTACATGGATCACATTGGAATACATATTTTTTTCAATGAAGACAATTTTGGTATTTTCATGTTTTTTTTTTTCATTATGTGAAAAAAATATAGGGTGAACATAATAGAAGTGTTATTTTACAGGGTGAAAATAGCAACTGGACTTTATTTTCTGTCTTTTATGCTAAATTAGTACATTTATATTGCAAACGTTAAAAGTTCTTTAATAAGATAAATTTAAGTTGTCAATTTTTTTTAAAACTAATTTACTATTTTATCTCTTACATTATTCTAATCGAATATGCATTATTGTTTTAAACTTCAATTAAAAGACGGTTAACAAGTTCATAGGAAAATCCAAGGAATAACAGATCATAATTCAACACTCATGAGACAGGATATTCGTCATATTTTCTCTTGAAAATATAAATCACTATTTTCAATCACTCTTGAAAAAATAAAATATTTCGTATAATAGTATATTAAATCCTGTTGTGTTCCTATGTTATATCAATATATGTTATATCATATAACTAGCCAGGCAAAAAACTCGCTTTATCCATGATCAATGTCAGTTGGAGAGATATAAGGAACCAAAGTAACTCCAGAAAATTTTAGCCACTTTGTCCCCTCATAAAAAATAACCATTTTGATACTGAATGAAACAAACCTGTTCTAAACAGGCATGTTTCAAAGAGCACTGTTCACACAAAATAGCATAACATGCATTAATATATTAATTTAACCATTGATAAAACTTGTAATGATATTAAAGTTAAAAAAAAATTCTGCAGGAAACTTGGACACAGATGCATTTGCTGCCTACGTTACGGACATGTCGCCATTATATACCGCCATGGAAGGCAGAATAGAGTTTGTGGACGAAAACTATCCATGCAGTACCAGCGGTGGCCTTGCAATCATAAAGACTAATTACCACACTATAGTATTGTTTCTGTTGATTATGTTGTATCATTTGTAATTGACTAGAATGTCATGTTTTGTAAAAAAAAAAATTACTAGTTTACATTTTAACGTAAATAATTGCGGACGTTCATACTTTGATTTATATGTTTACAATGTACATGTATTTAAATTTACATGTATTCCAATTTCTAATGTCCTTATTCTTACTCCTGGTCGCCTGTGTGGCGCAGTGGTTAGAGAGTTTGCTCTAGAGTCGCGGAGTAAGGAGTTGATCCTTCTGTCGCTAGTTGAAAATTATGAGTCGTGTAAACCGGTCCTTCGGATGAGACCGTATAAACCGAGGTCATGTGTCGCAGTAGGTGCTGGTACGAAAAAGCTCCTTCACTGTTCAATGGCACTGATTCCCGAGTATAGGTCTAAATTTGCAGCCCTCCACCGGCAAGTGGTGGCGTCTCCACATGAGTGAAAAAATTCTTGAGAGGGACGTTAAACAACAAACAAAATTCTTATTTCTGTGTTATCAACCTATGTACATACACATAGATTTAATGCTTCATGTTTTTTTTTCTATCTGTTTATGCCATATTTTGTGTGTGATAAGATTTTTTTTAAAATGACTGTACTTTTTGTTTAAATCAAGATTGCTAAGTTCACATATTTCTTGTTTGAGAACTTTTAGAAAAGTTAATGAACTTGGTGAGGTTATTTCTTTGTATGTACACGTTAATGTTGGATATACTTTTGCATAATTCATAGGATGCTGTCGGTGAACTGTTGATTTATTATTTGTTTAGAGAAGGAACACTGAGTGCAATACTCGCAATGTTCAAAGAGTCATTATTACATGTAGCTAAAGTTTAAAACTTTGTAATGTACGAAGATTGTTCTGTAAAATTGTGGACAAGTTGTCTAGAGTGAGATAAACGACATTGTGTTCTAAAATTTTTACTACCTTTTTGTACTTTTTTTCAGCAATATAAATATCTAATTTTAAATATGAATATGCTCAAATAAACAAAATATTAAATTTTGTGTTATGAATGGTATCACCCTACTGCGAACGGATGTCAAAGTGTGTAAACCAACGCCACCTTTCATCCCTGTTAAAAAAAAAACTAATGAAATTCTTGAATGTCAAAGATGCATCAATGGAATTCCCCTTTATTCCTCCATAAATAGGCGAAGAACCAATCTCGCACACACACGTGACTTTCTGACTATTTTTAAGTGGTAAGTCATGGATATAACTCCCACTATATTCATTTAATTAAGCAATCTTTTTTTTTTTTTTTTTTTTTTTTTTTTTTTTTTTTTTTTGATGTTCTGCATTGATAGCGTCTTGCACTGTTTCCTTGAAAAAGTCGTATGTTATCCTCTACCCGATGACTTTCGCAGAAGGCTTCTCTTTAAAAAACACCCACTCCACTTATATATTAAACATAACAAAGATTTAGTGATATTTAAAAAAAAATTATCTTTTGTTATCATTTAAAGTATCTAACGGCGTCATTACTTATATAATCTTCATCAAGCTGAACTGCTCTTCTTTGCACCGTAACATCATCAAACATGGCTGTTTTTCGTGCATAGTTTTAACATTTTTTCCATTCAAGGTGGTCGGGAAACTGCCGAAAATTAAGTACATGCCTTGAAGTCTACCAAATGACATTGGTAAAGATGGTGACTTCAAAATATTATAATATTTACCCGACCCTTTTCCACTTAATACTTTCATTTAAAAATAATAATCGGGTATTCTCTGATGAATCCCTTTTTTTATTGGCGTGCCACAGGACTATATACTGTGCATAGTCAAGTTTACATAGTTTTCCTAACGTTTATCTATATTTTATTTGAAGAAAAAATGTCCACGAATTTACCATATAACCCTTGTATGAGAATTTTTTGTACTGATGCTAGATGCGTAACAATCAATGAAATCAAATCACCTATTGAATGTTACGTTACACATTGTATATAAAACTTGTTTTCTTGAGTTTTAAGAAAGCATAAACCTGCAGTATTCAGTTTCAGTGTTTTGCTGATACTGTCATAAATTTGATTCCAGTGATCGAAAATAAACAAACATCAAGCGAATAGAAACCTTTCAATTCAGATTGAATAATGAAGAGAGCTGTTGGCAAATGTCCAAAATAAAAGTCGATTTGATATGCAAGAACATGTTCTACTCATGTGTATTTTAAAAAGAAAACAAAAGGGGGGGGGGGGTAGGCGACAGGCGACTGAAAAAACGGGATTATTGATACAAGGGTATCAACATTCCCATTGGAAGTCAACATTTTGCATATTTTATACTAATGACTTTGTTTTCAAATTCAATCTATAGTTTGGTCTAATGTTGACTAGAGTCTTTCATACAAATTGTTAGGTCATCATTTCCCCCCGCGAATTGTTTACGGATTTCCCTTTTATCCGATGATGTTTAGAGGTACATGTAGGATGTAACCGGTCAACTGGGGATGTTTGCTCCTCCATGGCACTAGATTCCACCTCTGTTTTTGGCAGTACGTGTTTGCTTTGCATAATATTTTGACCTCTCGTTATCATCAAATTTCATTGACAAAAGCTACAATATTGGTACAATTTGTATAACGTTTGCAAAAACATTAAAATTATAACAACATTTTCAGTATGTTGCTGTTTCATAATATATTTCACACATCTAAATGGGCATAATCTGAATATCAAGCACGATACCAAAAATACCAAAATACCTTAGAAATCATATTAATCTAAAATTATGATATTGCAAAATATCGGGAAATTATAATACCATGAAGTCACTGATGATGTAATCAGTGATGTCATAATTTCAGCTGTTCTCAAAATGGAGTGCAACTAGCAAAAAAATTGATTTTTGTAAACTTTTATTATAAGCACGACATCCGAAATATTGTACAGGTATGATGAAGAAAAATATCCAGACCAGAAAGCCCTGTCTTGTTTTCATTTATTAAGGATAATTAAGAACAAAACATAATGTAAAGATGAAAGACAGTTAAATCCCCCCAAATGAGAACATTGTCAAATTGAAGTCAATCATTGAGAAAACCTTAAGAAAGTCAGTTAGATTTGAGTTTATGGAAATGGATTGTGACAATGTAATTGTATCAAGTATATTTAGAAATCTTCGATTTGAATTGAGTGTGTCTGTATACAAAATTTCAGCATTGCGGCATTTTAAGCCAACGGACATTCAGCGTAGGTTAAGTTTGCAAAAATGATTGAAAGAGCGAAAGAGGTGGACGTCAGCATATACGGGTAGTTCTGAAATGACACATGTATTTAAATGCATCTTTAAATAAAAAAAATAAATGGACCTTTAAATAAAACAAATAAATATGCACTTTGGGGGTTCTAAAAAGCTAGATATAAAACAAGGAATTTGTCAATTATCCTGTGAAACGTACGAAGCAGTAGTCAATAATTTCTGAACACAATTCTCTATAAGGAAAACACTTGGAGTATAACATTTTAGGAAATCGTTGTCATAGAAACTGAATTGGAGAATGTTGCATACTTCTGACTTAAAATAAAAATTTTGAATATCTGCTGATTAAACTGATACCTGGTTTATAAAATGTATATGTTGCTTTTGTTGTAATCTTTCTTTTTGCCTTTAGATGTATGACATATATTGTGAAACACCCTGTATTACACAAACATAAAATTTTTTAGACATTCAAAGTTTATATTTTAACTTAAGTCCGTTCTCAATTTATGATCTTCTATCTAGATTGTATAGGATGCTTCATTTTAAAATTTGGAATCCGCGAGAAAGAGAGAATGTATAATAAAATTAAAATCATAATATCTCCTAAAGAGAAAAATGCAAAAGTTTTTTTCACATACAAATACTGGCATATGTTCTGTCATGGATGAAGGTTCTTAAGGTATTGGGGACTGGACTGAATTCATGCAGCACTGCAATCTGTGCAAATGCACTGTGTCTGTCCGTATCCACAGATGCACCCAAACAGGTCTGTTCAGCCTTTTTCTATTTTAAGTAGTGAAAATGTCAGGGTAATGCTATTACTACTGCACTTGTGACTTTTTCCATATCTAAAACTGAAATTTCAGGCAAGCTTCAACTTGTGATACTTACAGTCAAACAATTATATTATGGGTTTTTTAATTCATCGTAAAATATAAATACATTGTATTGATTTTTTTTTTTTTTTTTTTTTTTTTGATTTATTAATATATTTATTCATTTATTATTATTCATATGAATATTCAAAGTTTTTGTCACTTAAAGTCCCATTATTGTTAAACTTTGAATGCAAAATTAAAATATATGCGGTTGAACGGAAAAATATATAGAGAATAATACATGGCAAAATCTGTATCACACCCCATATCAACCCGAGACTCCAATATCAGCCCGAGGGCCGAAGGCCAGAGGGCTGATATTGGTCGAGGGTTGATATGGGGCATGATACAGATTTTGTCTTGTATTGTTGTTTTATTATATATTTGAAAATAGTGTCCTAAAAATCATATAAACTTGTAAATTAATTACTGAATTTTTAATAATTGAATGTTTTTGTTTTTGTTGAATTTCCGTTTCTCAATCTTTTTTAAAGGCATATAAATGCATTCAGCGATACGAAATGAAATTATTATAAATCAAACAAATAATTATTTTGAATAACAAAATATGTCTGATGAAATAAAATTACAATTTGGATAAACTTTGGAAAGAAATAGGAAAAGATCCGAGGTACTCCGAATGAAAAATACAGAGATGTTCCGGAAAGGTGTAATAAAGGGTGTGATAAAGGGTGAATTAAAGGGTTCTGATACAGGGTGTGTAATACAGGGCGCGTGCCTGTGTTCATATCAGGGATGCAAAAATCCTGTATTATATAACAAATATATAATAAACCTATATAAAATGACTCAAGTTGTTATTATCAAGATTTCTTATAAAAATTTGTTTGTATCCTCTGTCCTTCAGTTGTATCGAAAAGCATATGCATGTTTTAAATTTGTTTTTATGTTTTATTAAGTTGCACACCTCAAAATAAGGAAAAAAATAAAATTTTCACCTCAAACTGCATGTCCTTTTAACATACTTAAGGTTCAACAGGTTTACAAAACATAACATCATGGACAGCAAATTCTATGTGAAAATTCTGAATAAATCAATATCATCAACGTTTGGTTTCATGCCCGAGTGAGAACTCTGCACAAATGCACACTTGGCATGTCGTGAATAAAGTGTGCTCTTAAGTACATGTTCATTATAAATGAACCAAAAAAGGTAAATTTCCGTCCGCTGTTACCTCACATGTACTTATCGCTGAGAAGAAGATGATGAACTGATCATGTATCTCTGTGATAACTAGAACAAATCTGCCACAGTCCGCCTGTTTCCCTATTTATTACAATGGCTGCTTCCATTCCTTCATTTTCAGGATTAATTATTCTTTTATCGTATTTTGTGTTTTGGACATATGCAGCATTTGAGATAACCATTCTACATACAAATGACGTTCACTCACGTGTACAAGAAATGGATCTTTATGGAAGGCAATGTGTGTTTGATTGTTACGGTGGTGTGGCCAGAATGAAAACAAAAGTACAAGAAATTAGAAACCAGTTTCCTAATACTTTACTGTTAGACGCCGGGGACCAGTTTCAAGGGACGCTGTGGTTTAATCACTATGGCGGAAACATTACTCTTACAACAATGACTGAACTCGGATATGACGCCATGGTAATTTTAAAACTCAATACATCCTACATAAAATAAACTTTATTATCTGAAAGATTATTTTTATTTGCAAGTTCTTTTTAAATATTTACAGCTTGTTGATTTTTCCATTAAATTGTATTGTAATCGTAGGAACACTTCATTTATACAGTTTTACTGCTGAAATATAAAATTTCCTTGTGCCTCCCTATATCTATATAAAACTCTTTGGTCAAATCTTTTCAGGCAAAAGCATCAGCTCACTTTTTAATAGTTTAAAAAACCATCCCAATTACTTCCAATATTTCTTCCCCTTCTTATTTGGAATGCTCACTTATATTTGCATTTTTTATTGTATTTCCCTTATTACTTAGAATGTTCACTTATGTGCATCATTTTCTTGTATCGTCGTTATACATTAACATATATGCATGAATTCTTTATGAATTAATACAATTATTTTGCATTACTAAGCATCGACTTCATACGTTTGACAAATGAAAAATTTTATTCATGATCCAATGTAATTGTTCCAATTAAAATTATGTTCCACCGATAATGACTCGATGTCAAACAGCTCAAAAACCCAAGTGGACTTTAATTTCATCATAACTTCCACATTTTTATCATACCTTTACCGGGCTGATAAGATCACATAAAACTTCAAATATCTTGGCATGAATAAAAAGATATAAGTCAGTATGTAGGAAGTTATAAAACGTCACCAAAATTTGCTCTGTCGCCCGCTTGGCGCAATGGGTAGAGCGTCTGCTCTAGAGTCGCGAAGTAAGGAGTTAATCCTTACGTCGTGGGTTCGAATCCCACTGTGGGACGTGGAGATCGGCCCTTTGGATGAGACCGTATAAACCAAGGTCCCGTGTCGCAGTAGGTGCTGGCACGATAAAGATCCCTCACTGCTCAATGGCCGTAAGTGCCGAGCAAAGGACAAAATTTGCAGCTCTCCACCGGCAAGTGGTGGCGTCTCCATATGAGTGAAAAATTCTCGAGAGGGACGTTAAACAACATACAAACGTATCGCTCTTGATGTCATTCATATACATTGTATATCATCAAAACCTGCTCTGAGAATCTTATTTCAAGGCTGAGGATAAAGATACATAAGATTATACATTGATAACTCTGGAAAATTCTCATCTTAAACTTAAGTCACTTAATAAATCTTTTTTTAACTCAATTTTTTGTTTAAGTAAAGAAGTATAAGTGAGTTTTTTGGTTTCTGTTTTCGTTTTTTTTTTTTTTTTGTTTTTTTTTTTTTTGTTTCTTTGTTTTTCTTTTATTTCATTTATTTATTTTGCTTTATGTTCATTTCAAATGATCAAAATAATATCTCATGTTTTTTCTTTTAAAAACAATCAGGAGAAACATCTTTGTATCTTAAGTAGAAAGAATTCAGATGGTAAACAAACATAACTTATAGTATAAAAGGATCATTAACTGCTTCAACGAATCTAAAAATATGTGTATTAAGATTTTTCGTATATATTGCCTGAAAACAGGTAGAAGAAAATGTAATGATTAGTTTAAGAAAAATGTTTGATCTTAACAAAAAAAATGTTGAGAGAAAAAATTATCTTATTTTCTTTCTGAGCTGATTCTGAATTCCCCTTATCTTTGAGCTTCTTACAAATATACCTGTAGTTTTTGTGGGTTTTTTTTTTTTCCCTGCAAACTTTATTCTAGTCCTATTATGTTTATTTAAATAATTTTCCTCTCAACTTTTTTTTTTATCAAAATCTCATGAAAAGGACTTATGAACTTATAATCTCAATTTTATAATCAAAGTACGTTTACATACCCCCCCCCCCCAAAAAAAAAATATTCAAATACTTAGAACTTATAATTTCTTTTTAAAAACTCGTAGATAAATGATGTATTTAAACAATTCATTTTAAAAGGCTCGTTGAGAGATTAAATACGAATACATTATTATAAGTCCTTTTCATGAGATTTTGAAGTAACCGTACCTATTATTTAGCTCTTAATTCATTCTCACTAAGAGGAATATAAACATAAGATATCACATAAGAGTTAATTTTAACAGCCTTTTTCTTTTTTCAGGCATTGGGAAATCATGAGTTTGATCGAAATATCGAGGGTCTTTTACCATTTCTGAAAGAAGTCAACTTCCCTGTTTTAAGTTCTAACATCAATACTTCACTAGAACCCTCCATTGTTCCTTACGTCAGCAAAAGTTACATAGCTCAGGTTGGTGGTCAACAAATTGGAATTGTGGGATACACGACAAAAGATACCCCCATCATATCCTCTCCGGGTAAGAATTCCAGTCTTACAAAGATTACTTAGAAACCAAAACCCCGTCTCGACTAGTTGTTTCTTTTGGGAAGAATTATAGTTTTACAAATAAATTAAGTTAGATTAACTAGAATGAATTCTTTCCTTAGTTGCATTTAACAATTAAAGGATTGGACGGTCCATTTGTTTTCTTTCTAATATACATATATTGAAGGTTATGAAAGAAACGTCTTAATCACTATTTAAAGGTTCCTTAATTTTTAACGACGAAGTTGAGTCTGTACGCAGTGAGGTACAGAAGCTCACAGGTGATGGAGTCAACAAGATTATAGCACTTGGTCATGCAGGATTTGAAGTAGACAAGAGAATTGCAGAGATATCTGGTGTTGATATAGTCATTGGTGGACATACTAATACATTCCTATACTCAGGTTACACATTATATTTTAAATGTTGATAAGTTACATATTTAGATAAAGTCATAGGTGGACATACTAAAACATTACTGCATTCAGTTAATGCATTATACTGTTTACAGATATAGGTAACTAATTGTGTGTAGCTTTCTTGGACATCATCACTCATCTTTATATACTATGTATAGGTTTTTCATTACAGTTATGATGTAATTTTCGGTAGAGATAATAAAAAAGTTCCATATTCAAGATTTAATTTTGCATTGGTCATTTATATTCGAATGATCTGGAGACAAATCAATGCTTTTTCTTTCTACTCAGATTACAAATCACATTACCTAAGAAACTGGCATGAAAATAACTTCTGGTTTACAATTGAGCATCAAGAACTTATATATCATATATATATATATATATATATATATATATATATATATATATATATATATATATATATATATATATATATATATATATATATATATATATATAGATAGATAGATAGATAGATAGATAGATAGATAGATAGATAGATATATATATAGATATATATAGATATATATATAATGGACTCCGTAAAAAAAGATATATTCATATTGGCATATATATGGGAAAAATAAAAGTCATGAATTATTTTACTTAAAGGTACTCCTCCATCTATTGAAAAGCCCGCCGGAGAGTATCCCCATGTGATCCAGAAGCCTGAAAGTGAACGAACTCTAGTGGTCCAGGATTATGCGTTTGGAAAGTATCTGGGATTTTTGCAAGTTGAATTTGATAACAATGGAAAAATATTGAATTATGGAGGAAATCCAATTTTACTCAACAGCTCTATTGAAGAAAGTGAGTTTGTCTTAAGATGATTCTGTCTTTTAATTTAGAAAATTTTAATTTTTTTATTAAACAACTTTTATACCTTCATTTCTAAAAGCCTTGTCACTTCAGATAATTATTAATTATATTTCACAAAGTAAGTTTTCCTTTAAAGAGTTTTTAATTTACTCGTAAAAATCAAAATCACACAGTAAAGGTGTGAAATTTTGTAATCTAGAAACATGAAACATTCATGTTTCAGACGAAGATTGCTTCTTCATACAACCATTTGGTAAATTTCAAGATTATTTAAAGTAAAAAGTAACATTTTTGTGTGACCAAGTCTTGTATTGGGGAAGACCGAATGTTTAAACCTGACACAGAACATAAAATTTCTTACGGTAGTGTAATGATATTGACTCCAGAAAATGTGAATAATTCATTTACGTTCCACAACTGTTTAATCGAGAAACATTGCAAGAATCACAAGACTGATATGACTCAACCTTTTCTTAACCAAACATTATTTTGGGATCGAGGTTCAATTAATGTCTCCTTCCAGAAAAAAACATGTCTGGTCTTTAACTTTTTAAAGGATGGTATGATCGGAGTATTATGTTTCAAAGAATGTTGTTTTCATGTTTCACGAAAAGAGTATTCAGTCCGAGCCTGTTTATAACAGCATTAATGTCCATCGGAAACTTTTCATGTATTTGTGGCTCTGTTGCATATCAAACAAGCATATTTAAATAAAAAAATAGAGACATCATAAAAATTTTGAAGTCCATTTCCTTCTATTAACACGTTGCACGATAAAGAACCCTGATTACTTTTTGGTCCTGTCGCCCGCGTGGCGCAATGGTACATGTAGAGCGTCTGCTCTAGAGTCGCGGAGTAAGGAGTTGATCCTTACGTCGCGGGTTTAAATCCCACTGTGGGACGTGGAGAACGGTCCTTCGGATGAGACCGTATAAACCGAGGTCCCATGTCGCAGAAGATGTTGGCACGAAAAAGATCCCTCACTGCTTAATATCCCGGAGTGCCGAGTATAGGTTAAAATTTGCAGCTCTCCATATGTGTGAAAAATTCTAGAGAGGGACGTTAAACAACAAACAAAAACTTTTTGGTCCTGATTGCCGAATATAGACTTAAATTTTAATCCCTTCGTCATTACATACGTACGTCTCTTTATAAGCTGGAATCTCCAAAGAGACGTAAAACAATGTATAATCAATTATAAAAATTATAAAATCAATTATGTTATGAATCAATAAAAATATTTTATCATTTTGCTTATTTTTTTCTGTATTTTGGTATTATAAACATGTTATCTACATTAGTTTGGACAATTAAATACATGTATTTTCGATTCTATTAAAAATGTGCTTTATCCTTATGTATCTTACAACAATATAATGTTTATTTGTATTCTTTTTTAGACTCAGACCTAAAAGACAAGATCAGTCTTTTGTACAACGCCATAGAAAAATCAGCTAAAACAGTAGTGGGGCGGACACTGGTCACTTTGGAAGGAAATAGGCAATGTCGCGTGAGAGAGTGTAACATGGGTAATGCAGAAACATTGCTTTATTTAGCTTAAGGTTTATTCGCCCTCTGAAAAGAGAGTTTACGCTTACTATGAATTGTTTTACTCATTTCTTTTTTTTTAAGGATCTAAATTGACGATGTATGCATTTGTGCACCTCATGACAATTTTTGTGTTGCAATTCTATTACTACAGTATCAATAAGATTTTTTCCCCAAATCACTGCTTTAGAGACAAATTTTCATAATGAGTGAACTCAGTAATGATTTGTACAAACGCTATGTGTACATGTTAGTACATGTATGTTATAATTACTCCCTTCTTGAAAAAACCTTATTTTGGTTTGCATCTGTGGTTCTGTCAGTATGATGATCGGTACACATGGAATTAATTCTTGAAACTTGGTACATTGGTACCCTGAAAAATGTAAATGCCCATTATTGATATTCAGTATCACGTTTGCATACTCTTAGTTGAGGATCAAAGTACTGTCCTTCCTGATAAACTTTATTTTAGCAAATAAAATATACAACGTGACCATCTTGATAGTCTTTTTTTTTTCTAAAATAAAGTATATCAGAAAGGACGGTACTCTGGAATAAGACAATACCCACTGCTCAGTATCCTAAGAATCCTCTGCTCGATAGACATCAAAACTGGAACAATGGTATCCCCTAATGTGTAGTTGACTGCTAAATATGGAATCACAGGGTAAATTGGCAAGAGTTAAAGTAACCTGGTATAAATATATAAATATGCTCAGTATTATGAGAACCCTAAGCTTGACAGACATCACACTTGGTACACTGGAACCCATTAATGAGTAGAACCATTTCGTCATGAGGACTTGAGGTCAGAAATCAAACTACATTGAGCTTAAGATCTTCTCCATTTAGTTTTTTAGAAAGCCTTGACTTACATAAACCTTAATAAGTAGTTTACTTATTGATTTTGTGATCGTAGGGTCAAAGGTAGAGGGTCAAGCTAGTCTGAAAACAAGAAAACATAATATTCTCAATGCCTGGAGACCCATTGCTGAATTTTCAAAATTTACTTTCCAGAATAATTGCTTCCTGAAGGTAAAAAAAAGTTTTGAGTCGGGGGAGGGCAATAATTTTTTTAAAAGATGGCCCGGGCAGTCGGTTGGATATTGCATCTTTAAGTAGTAACTGTATATTTTTAAGGTAACGCAATAGCTGACGGTCTCGTATACCATAATTTGAGGGACACCGATGACGTCAATGGTACACAAGTTTATATATCTTTGCTCAACGCAGGATCCATTCGGACAACTTTTACCAGAGGTAAAATAAATGTTTAGTTTTGATTGTTTGGTGGTTTTTTTCTCTCTTTTTTTCATTCAACAGTAAAACTTGTTCTACTTTTTAAAGGTTCGGATTAACGGTTGGGACATTGCAGAAAAATCATACATAAACTTAGAAGGCGGTTTATGTAAATTTATGCTGTTGGAACATGAAAGCAGCCAAAAGCTGAAATTTTCTATCAATGTTTTAAACTTGTATTTAAAAAAAGAAAAATCATCATTCTATAGATCGCAAAATTTAATACAAATTTTATACATGCATGCTTTCATGTCAATCTTTAATTAAAGTGTAAAACTACACCTGTGCATAATTAATAAAACCCTTCTAATCCACCTATACATGTAAAACTTTAACTGGCGAAATGCATGTATAACTACCTGCAAATTTTTGCCTTATTATGTCAAATCTGAATTTACTAAGAAAATATTTACAACTATACTTAATAATAGACTGATGAAATGGTTCGAAAGTAACTCTACTTTAACTGATGCACAGTTTGGATTCAGACCAGGAGTTGGTACTATAGACGCAATTTTTGCACTGCAAAGTATAATTGATAAACATCTTTCGAATGGGAAAAAACTCTACTGTTGTTTTGTGGACTTCCGTAAGGCATTCGATAGTATTAATAGAAATTATCTTTTCAAAAAGCTCATAGCATTAGGGATCAAGGGGAAAATGTTTAACAGTATATGGTCTCTGTATAAGAATGTTAGGAGTTGTGTGAAATATAAAAACAATCTTAGTGACTTTTTAAAAGTAGAACAAGGAGTCCTTCAGGGAGAAGCACTGTCTCCTCTACTTTTTTTCTTTATATTAATGCTTTTATCATGTCTAATTGTCAAGATATTAATCTCCAAGAAGTGTCATTGTTTTTAATGTTATATGCAGATGACATGGTATTATTTTCCGATTCTCCTGAAGGATTACAAAAAATGCTTGATGTGCTTTACTCATATTGTAATGATTGGAAATTATCTGTAAATGTAAGTAAAACTAAAATAGTAGTATTTAGGAAATCTGGTCGATTGAATCAAAGTTTTAAATGGTATTATAATGATGAGGAAGTTGAAGCTGTCAGTGAGTTTACTTATCTTGGTCTCACTCTGACATACACAGGTAACTTTCATAAATCTCAGGTAAAATTGGCTACTCAAGGGAGGAAATGTATGTTTAAACTTTTGAAGTCTATGAAAAATGTGCATTTTAACTTTGTTACTTGTTTATCTCTGTTTGATACTTATGTAAGTAGTATATTGAATTATGCAAGTGAAATATGGGGATTCCACAAAGGTGATGCTATAGAGAAAATACATTTAGAATATCTCAAAATTATGTTGAAAGTGAGAAAAAATACCTCGTCATTGATGATCTATAATGAACTTGGTCGTTTACCTCTTTTTATTCAAAGGAAAATTCGTATAATAAAGTTTTGGTTAAAATTATTGGAGTCAGAAAATTGTATATTGAAAAGTATTTACCAATTTAGATATGCTTGAAAGAATTGAGACAAGTTCTTGTACAAAATATAATTGGTTACTTAATGTAAAATATTTATTATTTTCATTAGGGTTTGGAGAAGTTTGGTATTGTCAAAATATTACAAACAAAAATATATTTTTAAAAATTTTTAAACAAAGATTAACTGACTGTTTCCAACAAAAATGTGAGGCTTTTTTTTCTTCGTCATCAAAGTGTTCTGTGTATAGATATTTAACAAATAAGCTGTGCATGCAATCCTACTTAATGAAACCTATTCCAGCCAAGTATATTCAATTGATTACAAAATATAGACTAAGTGCACATTTATTAATGATTGAGAAGGGAAGATTTACTATTATTCCTAGGGAGAATAGATTATGTTCTTGTTGTCAAATGGAGGTTGAAGTTGAGTACCATTTTATATTAAAATGCTCACTTTATCATGAGTACAGGAAATTTTATATTAAAAAGTATTATTGGTATAGACCTAGTATGTATAAACTTTTACAATTATTATCAACTGAAAATGTGAGTGAACTAAGTAATATAGGGAAATTCCTCCAAAAAGCAGAAGCACTTAGAGATTTACATCTGTAAACTAAGGATTTTTTTTCTTTTTTTTTGATGTTTGGTTGGAAATATTGTATACAAACAATCGTATGTTAAAACAAGTATATGTAGATATTTTATGTATGTATATTTCTTCCGTGCTATACATCCTGTATTTGTAATGTTGTAATCTGATAAGCCATATGGCTTAAGGAATAAATAAACAAACAAACAAATTAAACAATAAGTACATGTAGCATATTAATTTTCTTTTTTGTTGTGTTATTCTAAGGACAGATATCGATGGGGAGCATATATGAAGCACAACCTTTCCGGAATACTCTAGAAACCATTCAACTTCAAGGGAAATATTTACGTGCAACTTTGGAGCACAGTGCCAGCTCGCACAACTTGGGGTGGCCTGAAGGGGGATTTCTTCAAGTATCTGGTAAATCAAAATTATAACAAGGGCACCGCGGAGCATTCCTTCGCACAAAAGCATATCAATAAAACAAGGCAGCATTCCACATCGACCCCGTAACTTCCGTTACGCACACAAGGATATACAGGGTGTTTCATAATATATGTTACATTTTTAAATCTAAATATTGTATTTTTCTTATCTATCATATTTTTAACACAAACGATATATCATTTTAAACACCAAATCCTGCATTTTTATTCCATGTGAAAAAGTCAAGGAAATCATGGTATTATAATGTTTAATTGTGACATCAACTCCAGTGTCATAATTTGAATATTTTTCGAAATGGTCAAAACTTAGAAACGTTTTGCTGACTTGTAAAGCTGTTTTTTTTTTACATATAAATCGCAAGGGAAAAAATCCAAAAGAGTGGGAGATTTCTTGAATGCTAATCAGAAGGCTACTTACAATGTTACTGTAATGGACAGGGACTTACAATATGCGATAAATAAAAGGACCCCCCCCCCCGCCCCCAAAAATAAGGACTTCAAGAACAGAAAATTTTAGTGGTAAAATGGAGACTCTTATAAAGTTTAGCAAACTCCTCAGAAAAGTGTCAGGAATATGTCTTCAGAAATTGATGCTGGCACTATCAGCATTTACAGAGTAAGTTGAACTTTGAAATATGAAATGAAGCTATCAACATACAAATTATCATAAATACAATACCCTAAGGATAGAGCTTGACCCCTGCATTCACCAGATCTCAATGTTTATGCTTTATCTTTAGAGATTCCTAAGAACCATGTCTAAAATCCCAAACTACAGCCACTGAATGCACTCAAAAAGAACATAAAACTTCAAATGAGGAATGTCTACGCAAAAATGTTTGACAACTTTATATAAAAAAAGACTTTCTCTTACAGTTGAAATAGGCAGAGATCATATTAATTATGTTAAGTGAGTATTCAACATAACAAAAATGACGCTATTTAGAAATTTCGCTAATTTTCATTAAAGTTTGAGTTCTCGGCCAGAGTTTAACATTTTACTTGGTAATTGCACATAATCAATCTAATGGATACATGCATCAAAATGATGAAAACATTTGTCTGCATCTTTTTCTTTTGTTTGTCAAATTTTAGATTCAAATTGTAACATATATTATGAAACACCCTGTACTAACACACATTCAGACACGTTAATAAAACCCTTTTAACTCCGTTGCGAGGGGATAACAATGGTGCATAGTGGCCATTTCTGCAGTTAGGAATATTGAGAGAGAGAGAGAGAGAGAGAGAGAGAGAGCATTATGTTGTGTAATCTAGGTTTTCCATTCGACATCTCTCCATAAAATAAATTTTACAAATGGTACATTATTAAGATGTAAAACGATTTTTTTTTAAAAATGGTGGTTCATCTAATAAATACTTTCCATTTGTAGGATTAAGGGTGAAATACAACTTAAATAAACCGGAAAACCAAAAAGTTGTAGATGTGAAAGTTCTATGTGCAGACTGTGTAGTTCCGAAATATGTACCCTTAAATGACGATAAAATGTATGGAATAATTGTGTCAAACTTTCTTCTATCCGGCGGTGATGGTTATACTGTTCTTAGAGACAACGCTCGGCAGAAATATATAGTAGGTAAGTAATATACAAGTTTTTTTTATTTAAATGTAAGATAATAAAATAATGATACATCTGATTACATGTAATATTGGATAAAAATATCAATCCGTGTACGCGGGTTGTTAGAAAACTTCTGTTGACACAGTGGTTTATGGGGAATTTGTGTATTTTGAAGAATGAGTCATATGTTTGATTGAATTACACTGCATAGCTATATACATATATAAAATTTACTGAGAAACGTTTATAAAAAGGCTTAAATTTTATTTACAGATGGAGACCTTCAATACCACTATTGTAGTTCAAAAATTGAATGTAATTGCTATCAATAAAACTTGTGTAAAAGGATTTTAGTTATTAAAAAAGTTGCTCTTTCTACAGGGAATTTGGACACCGAGGCTTTCTCTGCCTACGTGGCTAACATGTCGCCATTATATAACACGCTAGATGGCAGAATAGAGTTTGTGGATGATGGCTATCGATGTGGTACCAGCGGTGGCCTCGCCACCACAAAGACTTCCTTCAACACAATGCTATTGTTCTGGTTGACTTTGTTTTATCATTTTTGTTAGCCACAAATTTGACGTTTTAATATCAAAAATGTTTTAAAGTTTTATTTTTCTGCCAAAATAATATGTCTAGATGTTTAAAATACATGTATTCATATTTACATGTACTACATTTCTCTGTTTTAATCCATCGAAATGTGATATTGATCATGGAGCAGTAGCATACAACCCAAAATTTTATTCTTTATAACCTTTTTGATATCTTTTTTTCAATTTTTGTAACGTTCAGGTTCTACCTATTGCTAACATCAAAAACTAGTTATACATGCATGTCATGCATTTATAAATCTAAAGTACATGTAGACTTTTGTTTGTTTGCCTTCATACACATTTGAATGTCTCATGTACTATTGCATAATTCATATATTATGCTTTCAGTTTCATAGTTGTTTCAGTCGTGTTCAGAAAAACAACTTTAAATTCATTCCCTGTTATATTCATAAACTCATTATGAATTCCAGTTGAAATCCTTTTATCTTTTTGCACCTATTCACATGCTAGACGTGCAACAACCATTGAAATCCAATCGTACATAGAACACTTTTATGATGCACATATAGGATCGAGTTTTTGCCATATTTTAGTTTGAAATAAAATAAAATACATATATACAATGAAAATTCTTATTTATAAAGATCAGTTCAATGTCCTACTGAGGCTTAGTCAAGAGAACAGGACTGAACAAGTGCCTGGACCCAAAGAAAGCTTCTGGTGAAATTACATGCTTTTATAAAGGACAAAATAGGGTAAGACCCCTTTTTGGCCCCGGTTTTGCATGTCCCCTAAAACAATACAATACTTCATAATACGAATCCTCGTAATTGTCATTCCCGTTATAAAAGGGATATTGAATCTAAGTGATATGATACACTGAGGTCACGAGAAGGTAAAAAAGACTTATCAATTTCCGAATTTTCTCAATTCTATTCAAATTTTCACTAAATATAAATGACATTTGGTTTCAGGAAACACAGAGCACAAGCTTGTCTGTCTACCAAATTTAAATATATATTCTATGCACTAGTATCAGATACATCTTTTCTATTGTATGAAAATCTCCGATAGGCAAGCTTTATTGTGCTCTCTGTTTACCGAAGTGAAAAGTATTTCAAAGTTGACTAAATTCCATAAGAAATGAGGAAATTCTGCAAAGTGGCCTACTTTGTCATCCTCTTGTGAAGCTTGTGTACGCATTCAATCAAAATTATTTATTAATGCTGGTTTTAAAACAAGCAATTCATATAAAGTTCTTAGATGCAAACTATCAAAATTTTAACTGTTTTAATTTTTACATAAAATATGGTACCAGATTCGGCAGTTAACATTATCTTGTCCTGTTTTTGTTTTTTTTAACGTTATACATTTACATGTACCAGTGCATATATATAGGATCTCCCATGATTTGTGGTTGGATATGTTTTTATAATCCAACGAGTTGTGTGGGGTTTTTTTTATCCCCGAGCCTTGGCGAGGGGATAAAAAACACATGCACAAAGTCACACAAAGAGTTGGATAAAAATCATTTCCAACCACAAATATTGGTAGATTCTTTATCACATGTTTTATACATTACCACTATATGTTTTACACTGTTTTCATAAATGAATCCACCTTATTTTTACTTCATCAATTTCACGCAAAACCCATTAATTGTGACGTCACAGCAGTGGGATATGAAAAAAATAGCCAAAGAGTGATATTCACGGGATAAACATGTAATAAAAAGCTCTATCCATTACATGCTGATTTACTGGTGACTAGAGATATTGCACTGAAGTATAGACTATGCTCTACATTGTTTGTTAGCTTTAATTGCTATTGGCGTCTCTGATTTGTCGATGTGAAAGGACGATCTTTAAAGTCAACTAAAAATCAGTAAACGACGCAACCTTTTTTCATTTTTTTTTTTTTTTTTTTTTGCCGTCTTTAGCAACAACTTTAAATAGCAAACTGACATACACCTATCAGGCTGTATTATTCTTGAGCAGTTTACTCTCCCCAGTCAACTTTATCTTACGAATACTGTGGTTACATTTACTCTATAGGAATTTATGGTCAGAAATAATTGTAAACTTAATTACTAGTATTTATTAATTTCTTATTTATATCTACATGGTGTATCTAACTGTAAAAAATGTGTTTAGATGATAGACACATTTCTAAACACATTCTTGTCACACTTTTTTAATGTGTTTAAATTTTAAACATGTTGAATTTCAATACGCGTAAGGGAAATTCGTAGGTTTTAGCAAAATGAAAACTTAATAATTTCTTTTAATCATTTTTTTTTTAATTTTAATCAATTTTGCAATACAAACAGTGTTAAGACTGAGTTGTAGTAAACATATACACGTGTGTCACAAACACGAGGAATACAAGTATATATGTCTAGTTCTTTTTTTCTGTTTGCATGTCGACATGCCACGTTGAGTGATCAAATGAAAGGTGGCATAGTTATCAATAAGTTAGATAGAGAAACATAAGCAGCATTACCAGTTAAGGAATGAAGCTTATTTTAACCTATGTTATACGATATAACATAACTTGGGGCAGTTTACACTTTATAAACCGCGAAGCGGTTTATCAAAAAGCGTAAACTGTCCCAAGTTATGTTATATCGTAAAACATAGGTTAAACTATATAAGCTTCATTCCTTATAATTTAATTTCAGTGTAGACAATAAGACAATTTTTCCTCCAGAAATGGCTTCAAATTGAGCGTATTTCAAAAGTAACGTCAAGCGGAGTAATACGTTTTTGACGTAACTCATTATGACGTAGGCAACTTATGTATACGAAATAAACGAAATTTTTTCCCAATCAAATGACGTGTTAGAACTAAAATTAAATTATATAATACTGTTAATAAAACAAAGAAAATAGAAGGAAAACACTTGAAAGAACAGAGGTGTGTAGTTCTAAACACTTCAGGCCTAAATGCCCATACCATGAATAGAACAACGTACGGAATATGGAGTTTCGACGACGTAATAGACTGTATATCCAAGCTCTAACCCTAATATCACTTAAATTTTAGGGCTACAAGTATGCTAATAGAATTATACACAAAGTAATATTTTTTAACTTATTGCATATTTCAGAATTATCAAAAACTGAACATTCAGGTTCTTCTTAATTTTGACACGTTTGCTAAACATAAAAATATGCATGACAAAATTTTGTCTGATATAATAATTCATGTTTTGAAATACTATACATTACTATTTGTACCCCTATCCCTTCATAATCATGAACGGTATAACGTATTTCAAGGTTTACCAGTTTAATAGAAGCACCACCCCAACCCCCTACCCCGACCCACCAACGCACCGCAATTCAAACCTTTAAGAGCTCGGTGGTCTTGGCTTTTTTAAGGCTATCATGGAAAGATGAGTTCTGTATTAAAATATAGGAAATTGCATTTATATACTTTGTGACTAGGTTTTGTAAAATAAAGTTGAAAGTAGTCCTTAAAAAAAACAAAAAACAAAAAAACTCAAATATTTAAGTGAGGCATTTGACACACTTGCCTGGTTATTACGCTCTCTGTCTCTCACTCTCTCTCTCTGTGTGTGTGTGTGTGTGTGAGGGTGTGTGTGTGTGTGTGTTAGAGCTTTAGTGCGAATTTCCAAATGGAATTTAGGCAATATACATGTACATGCATTAAAAGTACACAAGGCGAGCAAAATGCCTGTTGTGCGACAAAATTAAATCTCAATTATGACAAAATTTTCTTTGATATTTTATTTAACATTAACGTATACTTTATGTAAAATCTCCATAAAATGGCAACAATCTCACGTTTATGTTTTACAGCAACGCTTGCCTTTTCTGGCTAAACATACATGTACGGTAGCAATATTTTTAGGATTGTAAAGTGCAGTTATTAGTTCCGCGTAACCAAATTAATCAGACAACTGTTTTTCAAAACTTTTGTGTAACACCGGTGTGAACGGTACATTCGGGGTGGCGGCAATGCGTGACTCGGGGTGGCGGCACCGAGGCGAGGAAAACATCAACACGGTGAATAAACCTGAATTTTTTTCATATGTTTAGACGTGTTAGATCAGAAAATTGTATTCTACGGAAGAAAGCAAATATCAACCTACCTCTGACCGTTTAAAGCAGCCTATAAGAGTGCTCCGTTTTCTCAAACACTCCTCCTCACTTTTCGGGGTATCAACGTTTTCGACTTTTGACACAATATTCTGTTTCAAAATTGACCTCAGAAGGGTTTTTCCCTTATATCTTAAACTGCTATAAAGTAAAACGATAGAATTAAACTTCAATCCTACTTTATAAGTCAATATATTTTACTAATTAAGCCAATTTAGGCTTCAAACTCGTTGCGACGCTCGGGGTGGCGGTTTCTGTGTCTTGCGGGGTGGCAGCATGTCTGAGAAATAGGGATTACTTTTTCATGCAGCGGTCTCCTGGCCCCCTTTCGAGACAAAAGAGATTCAGATTTCTTAGAAGAATTAAGATTATGTCATGGTACGGTGTTATTTCGCTATAAATGAGGCTATGTCAAACATTAAGAAGTATATTTTTTTTATAATTTAAAGACCGGAATGAACAAGGAATAGGCACTATATAATGATAGTAGTGCGTTGCTAATATTGGTATTACTTTATACAGTTCCTACATTTAAGTTTTGAACAGAAGTCCAAGTTAAGCAGAATAATCAAGATAATTACAATCAATGTTTATATACACATATATAAATCCTTGCTGTTGTCCCCACAATAAAAAAAAACTACTGAATGACTGCAGGGTAAATTATTAATTGTGATAATTTGCTGACTCGGGACATATGTTCAAAGCTTAAAGATAGGAGTTTTAAAAAGTAACAAAATAATTATATTGTGCAATGTGGGTTTGCCCATTTTCTGATCTGCGGTATTCCTGTTTTTACATAATTTTCCAGGCAGGTTCCTACGAAACTAAAATTGTCGATTTATGTGTATTACAGGTCAGGGATAAAATTATATACATTTTTTGAAA